TGGTTTGGCTCAGTGGATAGAGCATCGGCCTGCGGACTCAAGGGTCCCAGGTTCGATTCCGGTCAAGGGCATGTACCTTGGTTGCGAGCACATCCCCAGTGGGGAGTGTGCAGGAGGCAGCTGATCAATGTTTCTAACTCTCTACCCCTCTCCCTTCCTCTGTAAAAAAATCAATAAAATATATTTTTAAAAAAGAAAAGAGGGGTGACCCAAGGCGGGACCACTCACTAGGATGCGGCCATCCCGAGATCAGAATCAGGAGCCCCAGGGTCTGTCAGTCACTTGGGCACATCGTTTCTTCTCTCTGCGCCTCCCCATTTGTAAAATGAAAGGTTCACCGTGGACATAGAGACTCCTCCCCGCAGCTAGGGGAGCAGAGCACAGGGAGAAAGCACGGAAAAGCAGCAAAGGGATGGGGCTTCATCCAGGGCGGATGAGCCTGGATACAGTAAAGAGAGGGTGCTCCCACCCCAGGACACAGCACAGGGGGGTGGGTGTGTCCCAGGGTCCAGCCTTCTTCCCGTGTGCCAGGAGCAAACACGCACCCCTCAGTGCCCCAGGGGGCCCTCTCCAAAGGGGTGAGGGTGACACCTGAGGTGAGATGCCCACAGCTCAGCAAGGCCAGAGAGGCTCGGCTGCTAGGATTAGCACCAAATCCCAGGCTGCTCTGGGGATCACACGTCTTCACAGCTGCTTACTAGTAGCAGCACCCTGCCCACACTGCCCCTTGCCCCTCGCCAGCCCCTGCCCACATGCACTTCTCAGGGGGAAGCTGGGACCTGCCTCTGCAAGCAGGGGAGGGGCTCTCCTGTGGAGCAGCGAGAGGTAGAGCACCCCAAGGGGCCCCACAGACACCTGCCAGCAGCCCCTGGGTGCAAGGCTGACAGAGGAGACGGACAGTGAAGGCTTCTCTGCCCAGCCCCTGTGGCTCTGCCCCCGGTGCCTTGGCCTGGAATTACCGTGTCTTTAGGCCACCCAGGCCCTTCCCTCCAGATGGTTCCGGTCCTTGGAGACACCGAGGCAGAGAGCCAGATGGGGCCCACACAGCTGGGAAGCGTCAGCCTCTGCTTCCTGGAGGAAGTGCTCCTGAGGCCCCCCAGCTGTTAGCTACCCTGCCATCCACCACCCCACAAACACACCACAAAGCTCCTAGCTCTGGGACACCGCCGTCCACCCCAACTGAGCAAGGGCTGGGGGGCCCCTTCCCCCTGCACACCTCCCCACCCTCCTGGTCATCCCTGCCTCAAGAGGGAGGTCACAGAGAGAAATCTTACTCAATTTACTCAAATCCCCTCCAGAGACGCTTCTAGGAGGAGGGGAGGGGGAAGTCAAAGGCCTAGGTGGTCTGAGTTTCTGTCCCCGGCTCTCCACCTCCCAGTGCCTGGGCACCTCGGGGATGGGCTGGAGCAAAGTGGGTGCAGGGAAGAAAATCTCCCAAGTCCATGTGGCCCTTCCAGACTCCCTCCTCTTCCACCCGCCGACCGCCCCCCCTCCCCGCCCCCCCAGGTACAGTGACCACTGTTCTAGGGAAAAAATACCTGAGCTACCTGGGCGGGGCACCACTGCAGGAGATGATGGGGGAGAGGGGGCAGCCCCTTCCCTCAGATCCCAGAGCTCGGGGTGGGGTGAGGCAGCTGCGGGCCCACCCTGGGACTTCCCAAGGCGGAACCAGAGATGCTGAAGAGCTGACGTGCCTGCCCCCTTGGCCCTGTCGCTCACCTGTGCACCCGCAGCCTCAGTGAAGGAGGAACCGGAGCCGGCTCCGCAGCAGCCCTCAGCGCACTCTGACCCGCACCGGCACCGCGGCAGCTCCCTCCCTCGCAGTCATGCACCCAGCTCAACTGTGCCCAACTCTAGGGCTGCCTGGACAAGGCAACCCCAAGCACAGCTGGGTGCCTAGGAGCTGGGGTGCCTAGGAGTCTTCGCTGCCAGGCTCAGCCTCTGGGGATGCGTGCTGCTCCAGGGCCAACAGAGCCCTCAGGCCCTGAGTGCGCAGGAGGAGGCTGCTTCCCAGGAAGAGGACCCCACACAGTACCAGCAGTGACAGCACGCCCAGCACGGCTGCCTGCACGGGGCGCAGCCCTTCGGGGAGCCCCAGCTGCACCCCTGACTGGTTGCAGCAGCTCAGCCAGGCAGCTCTGGCCGCCTGCGAGGCGTTCATGCTTCCCCTCAGCTGCTCAGATGTGCCCAGACGTGCGCAGGACCCTCAGACGTGTGGGAGCCGGGGCTGCAGGCAGAGGACTGCATCTGGGAGGGACCTAAGGGGCGGATCCCAGTCGTCCTACACCCCCACCCCTTGCGCAAAGCGCTCAGGCCCTTCCCAGACAAAGGGCTCTCCCGGCGTGGACTATGGCCCAGACTTCCAGGCCAGGGGTTATATCTTCTTGTCTCAGAGCCCCCATACCTACGCATGTGAATCTGGCCTAAGCTCCCAACAAGCAAAACCCAGGAATCCTGTGCCCAAGGCTCCTCCTGCCCCTTGGCAAAGGAAGTTGAGAAAGATCTTCCAGACCCACCCCAGGTGCTGGCTGGGGCGGGGCAGCTAAGCAGGAAGCAGAGCAAGGGCCATCCCCATTTCTGGCTGGCTGCTCAGTGCCGCTAGATGGCCCAGGTGCCACTGGAACAGGAGACAGTAGTAAATGAAAGCCTCTAGGACCTGAGTGACGCCTATCCTTCCTCCCTTTTGGGAGCCTCCAGGGGCCGTGCCTCCCTGGTCCCACACAGGAGAGAGGGAGGCTAGGGGGACTTTAAGGCCTACCCCTGCTCCTTTGTTCAGGCCCCAGAGGGCAAGAAGGGATACAGACCAATGGGAAAGCAGATCTGAGTCACCAGAGCTTGGGTTCTAACCTTGAGAAATGAGTGCCCTACCTCTGGGAAATCACAATACCAAACGATGGAGATGTTATTGTTCTGTCCACCTAAGGGCGTTTGCTGCCAGCTGGGTAGCCCACAGCCAAGCCAGCGGGGGAGAGTGGAGAGGTCTGGCTGCAAAAAAGGAGTCTGGAGAAGCTGGAATGGAGGGAAGACCCCACTGCCCAGGTCTCCTGAGAAACCCTGTAGCAACCTTGAGCTCTTTAAAACAAAGTCACTGCTGCACTAGCCAGTGCTCTCAGTGGTTAGAGCATCAGTCCGCACACCAAAGAGTCAGGGGTTTGATTCCCAGTCAAGGGCATGTACCTGGGTTGCAGGTTCATTCCCTGGCCCCGTCAGGACATATCCGGGAGGCAACCAATTGATGTGTCTTTCTCACATCAATGTTTCTCTCTTTCTCTCTCTCCCCCTCCCTCCCTTCCACTCTAAAAATCAATGGAATAAAGGATCATTAACAAAAAGAATACAATAAAGTCACTGCTAGCAAACACATGTGTCATCCAACTCAGAAGAGATCAGCTGATGGCCAGCTAGGAGAAAAAGGTCCCCCAGACTACAGGCCAAGTAGGGCTCACACACCATTAAGGACTTGCTGGGGATGGGCCTTCCCCATCTCCAGACCCCTGAGTTCTCCGTTTCTTCAGAAATCTAGAGTAGAACATCACAAAACCTGTCATGAACTATCACGTGGCCAAAACCGGCTTGGAATGAGAAAAACGTGCACACGCTTCCTGCCAATCCTGGCTACTACCTACCTGCTCCAGGACCATAGGCAAGCCCCCTCCCCCACCCCAATCATTGCTCCCTTAGCACCCCTCCCTACACAGAGTTCATTTAGTCTGTTACAACTGGCCCAGGTGTAACCAAAAAGCATTGCAAAATATGGAATAAATCAATAAAAAGCACACAATGGAGGTCACTGATTTTGAGTATGCCTGTGCTGAAACGAGTGTGAGCTGCCACAGTAATGTTCCAACAACCAGCCAGGGCCAGCCCAATCTGAAAGAAGTGTCACCAGACACCAGTCTCAAGCTGGCCCATCTCTCTCCAGAGAGAAACCCCAATCAAATGAACTCTCTGGTGCACGCTGGGCCTGTGTGCACTATGAAGACAAAGAAACCCAGCTGGCATGGCTCAGTGGTTGAGCATCGACCTATGAACCAGGAGGTCATGGCTTGATTTCCGGTCAGGGCACATGCCCAGGTTGCAGCTTGATGCCTGTGTGAGGCATGCAGGAGGCAGCCGATCAATGATTCTCTCTCATCATTGATGTTTCTGCCATCATAAAGCAAGACCACACAATATACAGGCCAGGGATGGTACAGCTTCCTTAGGGAGGAGAAACAACACTGTCATATCTAAAAGCAACAGAGCCTCCTGGCCAGGTAGCTCAGTTGGTTAGAGCATCATCCTGATACAACAAGGTTGAGAGTTCAATCCCTGGTCAGGACACATACAATAATCAACCAATGAATGCATAAATAACTGGAACAAATCAATGTTTCTCTCCCTCGAAAATCAATCAATCAATCATCTATATACATAAAAGCCTAAGCGACCAGCCAACTGATCGACCATTCAACTGGTAGCTATGATGCGCACTGACCATCAGGGGGCAGACGCTCAATGCACAGGCATGGAAACATGGAACAGACTGATGAATCTCAGAAGGAATGGGGGAGAGGGGGAGGGGCAGGGCGGGAAGAGATTAACCAAGGATCTTATATGCATACTAGAGGCCCAGTGCATAGATTCGTGCGCTGGTGGGGGTCCCTTGGCCTAGCCTGCAGGGATTGGGCTGAAACCAGCAGTCCCACAGCCCGCAAGCGATCCCGGATTGTGAGAGGGCGCAGGCCAGGCTGAGGGACCCCACCGGGCCTCTAGTTTTTAAATAAAAGCAATAGACCCTGATCTGGGTCCTCATTCAAGGGACTGATCCTGGTCACACCCTGGTGGGTAACATGTGAATGCCCAACAAAATACAACATCAGTCAGCTTTAATCTATCTGTAATCCTATCCACCCATTCCCCTCATCTTGGATCAATGCCCTCAACACACCTGTGTCCTCACAAGTCTGCCAGAAAGTGTTAATGTTTCAGGACAGAACACAAGGCAAGGGAGAGATGGCTCACCCCAAACTCACATTCTCAACTTTATTCACCATCATAGTGAAGGCCCTTCTATACAGTAGAGGAGGAAGGGGGATCCACCAGAGGTGGCAGACAGTATTGGCCTGACTTGACAGTCAGTGAAAGTTACGAGGCTGGCCAGAGACTGGCAACCACAAATCAAGGAAGCCAGGGGATGGCCCTTCCAAGTCTTACCAAAGACCCGGAGCAGGTTCCAGAGCCCCAAGGGCCTAAGAGTACAATCCCCAGAGGCCAAGGTTTGCAAGTCATCAAGGAGCACCCAAGGCACCCAGCACGGCCTAGAGAGCAAGGGTGTCTTTGATGAGCCTGCGCATGGTGGTGGTGACTGAGGTGCCCAGGGCATCGGTGATTTGGAAGGAGATCTTGTAGAGGTAGGGCTGCACGTCCCGCAAGCCTGTGTCAAACACGTTGTCCACCTCCGACTGCGTGGGCATCTTGGGCAGGTACTCATGCCGGTTCATCACCTCCACGATGTTGATGATCTTCTCACAGAGCTTCTCACCCACCTTCTCCCGGCAGATCTGCCGCTCCTGCTCCGTGGCCAGGGCCACCACATGCACCTTGACTGTCCACACTTCCCAGGGGATGCACTCGTCTGAGAAAGGCCAGCGAGACTTCTTCTTCTGGTAGAACTCCAAGGACATCTGCCCTAGCCCATCGCCACCTGAGTTGCGCAGTGCATCCTGGGAAGAAAGGGTAGCAGATAACAGGCTAGGACAGGAGTTCGCATCCTGTGAGCACCTGCTTCCTACGCCCCAGGGAATTATGCTCTCCTAGCTCTATTAGTCCTTTACGGAGGGCAGGGAATGAGAAACAGGGAAGACAGATTTGGGACACAGCAAACTGCCTGCCTAAAATTGAGTGGTTTAGACAAAACAACAAAATCTGTCTCCTTGCCCAACTCCTCCCGCTTTGTTCGGAATTGCCGTTTTTTAAGCACTTATTCTGGGCCAGGCACTTTATATACACAATCCCACTTACTCCCCTCTCAACAACTCTGGGAGGCAGGAATATTGAGGCAAAATGAGGCTCAGATTGAAGTTATTTTGCCAAAAGTCACAGGCCAGTGAATGGCCTGTGAATGAACCCAGATTGTCTGATTTCAAAATCCTTACTTTTCACCTTTACTCGAAGGGCCTTCTTGCTCCTTCAACAACCACACTCCTTTAGCCCCATCCTTCAAAACGCACTCCTACACCTACTCCCCAGGTAAATCCTGTATGCATTCCCACTGCTAATTAAGCACAATCCTTCCACTTCCTTCGCTCAATGACAACCTCAACTCACAATCTTTAAAGAAAAGGAGGGAGGAATATAAAGCCCAGTGATCCTTGATTAGAAAGAAGGAAGCCGCCGAAACCGGTTTGGCTCAGTGGATAGAGCGTCGGCCTGCGGACTGAAAGGTCCCAGGTTCGATTCCGGTCAAGGGCATGTACCTGGGTTGCGGGCATATCCCCAGTGGGAGATGTGCAGGAGGCAGCTGATCGATGTTTCTCTCTCATCGATGTTTCTAACTCTCTATCTCTCTCCCTTCCTCTCTGTAAAAAATCAATAAAATATATTAAAAAAAAAAAAAAAAAAAAGAAGGAAGGAAGCCAAGGAGCCTGGCTGGTGTGGCTCAATGGTTGAGCATTCCCTATGAACCAGCAGGTCATGGTTCGATTCTTGGTTAGGGCACATGCCCGGGTTGCAGGCTCAATCCACAATGGGGGGCATGTAGGAGGCAGCCAATCAATTATTCTCTCTCATCATTAATGTTTTCCTCTCTCTCTTTTCCTCTCCTTCCTCTCTGAAATCAATAAAAAGATATTTTAAATAATAATAATAAAATAAAATAAAAAAGGAAGCCAAGGAACAGAAGAGGAAAGTGAGGCAAAGAACAGATCAGGCCTTGCTGCTTCTCCCTCTTCTCATCTGAGCAGCAAATGGGATCATCTGGTCCAATAATTCTGCCCATGCTCCCCCTACCCGCTCCTCCTAGGGTAGCCAGGGCCCTTTCCACCTCAGTTGTGCAGGGCCAACCCAGAGGGCAAGGATGCTTCCCTCGAGTCCTGACGGGACTGTGCCACGCCCTACCTTGAATTCCCCAACAACCTTGCGCAGGGCGCGGTCCAGCTCCTCAGAGGAGACGCGCACGTAGGTGAAATCGATGAAGTCACAGTCGACGTCCTGGGTGCCCACGGTGCCGATGGAGTAGGTGCCCTCCTTCTTGTAGTGGAACTTGCCCGTGCTGCGATGCAGCAGCACCGTGTGCAGCACGGCCAGCATGGCCTCCTCCACCTGCCGCCCCTCCACCGACACCTCCAGCACCTCCGAGCGGCAGTTCATCCTGCAGCCAGGGGCCCACAACAGGGTGGGGGACAGGAGGAGAGATGGGAGCTTCACCCCACACAGGGGCTGCCCTGCAAGAAGAGCCAGGTCAGAATACTGAACCCTTCTGGACGACCTGCATGTTACCTGCTCGCTTCCTTCCAGGCCCAGCCCAGCCCCTGCCTGCACAGCCTTTCTCTGCATTTCGGCAGCACCTCCTATCAGAGAACCTCAGGCTGCTGGGATCAGAAAGCGGGAGAGCTGCAAAGTTACCAGGCCACACAACTGGCCAAGGCTTGAACTCCATCAGGGTATTCGGTGCTGGTTACAACACATGCTCACTGTGCGACACCTGTCAGGCACTGGCCATTAAAGGCAAACACCTGCCCTTGAGAAGCTGCCAGGGTGGAGAGACAGGCAGGCAAATGTTCCCATACTGGCGAGACTAGCAGGTGGGAGTAGGGAAGTCTGATTTCCTGGGACCTTGAATGACCAGGTTAAGGATTTGAACTCTGTCCTAAGGACAGTGGAAAGTCGATGCATCACTGTGCCAAGATCAAATCTGTGCATCAGAAAGTTAACTCAGCCTCTTCACTATCTGAGGTCACAAAATGCTCTGAGACGTCAACAGAAGCTAAGGAGACTCAGCTTTAAACCTGACTGACCTGCACAGACACACCAAATCTCACTTATTTCCAGGCCGTCCACAGACTCCAGGGTAAAAGCTTGCCAATGCACAGTAAAGCAGAAAGGCTGGGCAGAGTCCGGTTAGAGGCCACTACAGCAGTGGCCGTTACAGAGGCAGCAGATGGCTGTGGGGGATGAAGTGCAGAGTGTGGGGCCCCATGTCCAGCAGTCCTGGGTGTGGATCCCAGCTCTCCCGTGTCTGGCAGTGACCTTAGGCCAATCCTGCACCTTCTCCAGCTCTGCTTTCTTATCCGTAAATTTGGATTGTTGTGAAGGTTAAATAAAACAACACACGTAAAACACAGAATCGTGGTTCAGAACAATGACTCTAAAGCCAGACAGCCTGGGCTGGAACCCCAGCTCTGCCAACTGCTCACTGTGTGCTCTTGGGCAAGCTGCTGAGCTCCTATGTGCCTTAGTTTTCCCAATCTGTAAAAAGGGGATTTAACAATCGCTACCGTAAAAGGGTTTTCTGGGGGTGAGGTGAGCTGGCATCTCTAAGCACTTAAAGCAGTACCTGGCCATTAGTAATCACAGCAGGCATGAGCTGCTATAGTTATCATGTTGTAACTGCTGCAAGATGACGCAAGGCTACATGGCTGCACCGGTGGGGGGAGAGGGAAGAAAAGAACAGACTTGAGAACCAGAACTCAGTAGGTAACTGAAGATGCGCCCAGAGGGAGAGGGGACAGCCACGTTTCTTAGCTGAGAGTGTTCAGCTTACAAAGCTCCCCTGACAGGGAATTCAGTGCCTCTCACGGCAGATGACCCCATCTTTAGACAGCTCTCCTGAGGACTCTCTCTTAGTGCTTCAAACCACTAGTCTTAGTTTTGCTATCAGAAGCCACACAGAAGAAATCTCACCGCTTTCCACAAAGAAGCCTTTCGGCTGTTCAGAGGCAACTCTTCCATCACCCCCTTCCCCCTTCTACAGGTTAGAGTCTCCATCCCCCAGAAACATGCCGACATCACATCTTATCTACTCGTAGTGAGGCTGAAGCAACTGTGTAGGAACTGGTTATAATTATCAACTTTTAGATCAACTCTTCCCTAAATCAAAACATGATTTCCCACGCTTCCAGACTTCAATCCTAGGCCCTTCGATTCTAGTTGCCTCGCATGTACCTGTCCACTAAGTCTCCTTCCAGCCTCTATTCACTAGCCAGTCCCAAGGCCATGTCACACGCGTTACGTTTTTATTATTGAGCACCTCAATCTTAGGAACTCTTTTCTCTTTCAACTAGTCTTTGTTGTAGAATAAAACCCCCCTACGTTTAATCGCTTAAATCATCCAAAATTCATCCTTTCACGTAATTCCGTGGTGGCTGAGCCCCTGACAACTCTTTTCTAACTTTTTTTCAGTTTGTCTCTCTCCCCGTTAAGTGGTGCTGCTCACCACTGAACACACAGGGCAGCGTTCAGAAAGCCAAGGGGCTCTGCCCCTCGCTTGGCAATCAGCCGGGCCCACCTGTCCCAGCAGGTGTCATCCTGTCCTGTCTCTCCCAGGAGGTAGACAGTTCCTCCAGGGCAGGGACCGTCCTATCCACCACCAGGAACCCGGTACCTGGAACTTGGTGCAAAGTTACTGCTCGATTCATCAGGACCCAGCAGCTCCCGGTCCTTGCTGGGGCTGCTGGACGGGTTTCTTCTATGCTCTTAGGTCACGGATCAGCGGGCTCTCCTGTTCACTGCTGCCCTCCATCCAATTTACCTCCATCCACCAGTCCCCCACCTAGGGACTCCCAGCTCCAGGGCAGCTCCCCTTTCTTCCACAACTTCGCCCTCCGATGTCCCCCACAAACTTCAAACAGGCCATGTACCACTTCACTTCTGCCCCAAGCCCAGCCCGACCCTCATTCTCCACTTCTCCAGGAAATCAGGACTGACCAGCCCCAGCCTCCTTCCCAGAGCGGCCACCTTTGGTCTGTGATGAGCCTGCCTGTCCCCTCAACCTCACCCGGCCTCCCGTGAGCCACGAGTTCTGCAGCGCACGGCCTGGCTGGGAGGTCCCCTCACCCTGGTCCCCGCACGCCCAGGTCTGCAGATCACAGGGGCAGACCGACCCCTGCGTTCTCAGCGCCAGGCTGGAGCCCAGGGCACCCCAGGACCACCTTCCGCGCACAGGCCGAGCGGGGTCACTCAGGCTCGGATCATCCCCTTCCTCCTCCTCCTCTTCGCACCCGGCAACATCCCCGCAGGTCCGACCCAGCGCAAGAGGACTAAAAGCAGGACAGACAGCGCCCGGCTACGCATCAAGAACGCGGGACGGACTCAGTGCCAACTTCCGGCCTGGGCCCCGTTTTCCACCGCCACCCGCCCAGAACCCCCACAACTCGCTACCGGGGTTGGAAGGGGGTGGAGCGGGCTCCGGAGAGGTGGTCTCGGTGGCGGCGCTCCGCGCCCACCTGGCCGGGCTTGGGAGTTCGGGGCGCGCCTTCCCTCCGGCCGGCTCAGGGAGCGCCCGCGCCTGCCCAGGGGAAGGGGCAAGGGGTTAGAACGGCGCCCTACCTCCCCGAACCCGCGTCCCGGACCCGCGGCCACACCACCGCGCTCGCCGGAGCGCCAGACCACCGCCGCGGGAGACGACGCGCCGGCCGGAAACCGCTGCCCCGCCCCTCCAGCCAGACGGCTCCACCTGCCTCCGCGGCCGCGGGGGGCGCGGGCCCGCCGGCCCAGCCTGGACACGAGTGCAGCTGCCCAGGCCGTTTTTACACCCACTCGAGAAAATACTTACACCCAACTCCTGCTATGTAATGTGCATGTTTCCTTGTTCTTGATTATCTCTCGGATTTTAAGATTTGATGGTGAGAAGTATCCCCCTCATTTGGACGACTCCATTCACTCCCACCACCGAGAATGTTGTTGTGTTTCGGCTGGAACGACTCACTTCCGCCATAGAGACGGGAGGGAAGGAGAGGCCGACGAGCTCTGTGCTGCCTCCCTAGGCGGAGCGGAGTCATCGCGGCGAGCCCCCCCTGGGGGGAGACGCGGTCCCTAACTCGGGCCTCAGAGGCCAAGAAGGGGCACCGACGCTCTGAGATGAGGGCCATGCTAAGTGGAGAGGTGCCCTGGAGATGAGCCCAGGCCAGTGTGCTGCATGACGCCGAGTGGATCGCAAAGCTTTAGCGTTTCCAGTGCAGAGTAGCCAGGATCCCTGGCCCCACAGAGACTGGAGAAAGGGACTTCACCTTGCTCTGCGTTATCACCATACAGAAGGGCTGCTTGGTGCTCTACTTAACCAGTCTGGTGGCAGTCCTTGTAAGGCTGGTAATTCCGCCACTGCCTCTGTGTGTGCCTCTTGACGTCACTCATCCTTTCTGATTTGCTCCTTTAAACGGAGCTGGCTGTTGTGCGGCTTACAAGAGATAATTCATATGAAAAGCCTTTGTGCGCTGTGAAGTGTTATGTGAACATGAGTGCATGTTTAGTGCTGTGTAACTTCCTGGGAGCGTTGGTCCTCCAAGTAGATGGTCCGTCCAGGGCGGACAGGGGTTTCTCCGCAGCTCTGGGAATGCCCACAGAACCTGGGGGTTAAGATGCTCATTTTCCTAACACACACTTTCTCCTCCAAAATAATAATACATAACATGTATGGAATGGAATGGCTGTGATTCTAAGTGTTTTATATATGTTAATTTAATCGCACGAGACAAATTGACGCTGGGAGAGGTCAAGTAACTTGCCCGAGGTCACTGGGTAAATGGCAGGGCCTGGGGTTCACATGCAGGATTTCTTACCATAACAGAAGTTCTATTTCTGGTTCCTCCCGTGCACTACCACACTCCAAATGCCACCCCCAACGCCTGCTCTCTGATGGAGAAATGCCTTGATTAGTAGCATTTGCCAGTTCTCTACTATGGCCAATTTTAAGCTCTAGGCCAGCGGTTCTCAACCTGTGGGCCGCGACCCCTTTGGGGGTCGAACGATCCTTTCACAGGGGTCGCCTAAGGCCATCGGAAAACACATACATAATTACATATTGTTTTTGTGATTAATCACTATGCCTTAATTATGTTCAATTTGTAACAATGAAATTGGGGGTCACCACAACATGAGGAACTGTATGAAAGGGTCGCGGCATTAGGAAGGTTGAGAACCACTGACCTAGGCCATCAGTGAATGTGGAGTTCAGAAGGAAAGGATTACAGTTTGATCATAGAGTTACAATCGGCTCTAGAGGACCAGTACCAGCAGCTCCAGCATACCACTCTCACCTACCTGCCCTCAGGCTTCCCCTCTCCCACCCATCCTTCAAACCCCCTACTCAATCCCCTTTCTGGCTGACCTCCCCACCCATCTATTCCCCGTCCCCTTCCTGCCTCCCCTTAGCTCTGCCCTGTGCAGCCTTGGTCTCTGGTTGCCTCTGTCCCAGTTGCAGACACCTCCTCCAGGCAGCCTCGGAATACCCCCAAAGCCCGGGAAGGGGAAGCTGCCTGCCTTACAGACCATTGGCCTTTCCTGGAGCCTGGACTTAACCCAGGATGGGGTGTCTGTGAGGAGCCAAAGGCCGGTGAGAACCCAGGGGAGGAACCAGGGGCTAACTCCCAGATACAGCAGTGAGTGAGGGGGAGACTGACCTCTCCCTACCTCCGACCCAGTCCGTCTGCCTCCGGGCTCTGGGCGGCCACAACCCAACATCATCATCACCCTACTCCCTGCCATGGAGCCTCACTGGGCACCACAGCAGCACTTCGCATGCACGATGTGTGGCTTTCTCCAACCACTTGGGAAGGGAAATATCATTTCCCCCCAATTTACACAGGATGAGCTGGGGCTTAGGGATACGTGGTGAGTGGCTTGCTTCAATGGCTAATTTTATGTGTCAACTTGACTGTGCCCCAGAATGCCCCGATACTTGGTCACACTTTACTCTGGGTGTGTGTAAGCGTGTTTCTGGGTGAGACTCACATTTGAACCCCGAGGCTGAGGAAGGCAGCCCGCCTTCCCTAAGGAGGGCGGGCCTCAGGCAGCCATCCTGATAGAACAAAAGGCCTGACCCCCACACAAGTGAGGGGAACTCCTCCTCCAAGTTGGACCACTGGATTTTCCCTGCTTCAGACTTGAACTGAAATATCTGCTCTTCCTGACCTTGAGGCTCCGGCATCTGGAACCACACCATCAGCTCTCCTGGGTCTCCCGCTTGCCGACTGCAGATCATAGGACTTGTCAGCCTCCGTGCTCACGTGAGCCAATTCCTCCTAATAAAGGTATAGATCCTTTTTGGTTCTGTTTCTCTGGAGAACCCTGAGAAACACTCGCCAAGGCCACACAGCTACTCTTTCCTCATTCCACCAGTTCTTTGACCCATTCTTGTTCCTACTCAGAAACTCACCCTTCCATGGAGCCTTCCTTGCCTGAGGGTGAAGCCGAACCCTCTCATCTCTCTTATCTCAGGCCCAGGTGCTAGCCAAGACTTGCCTCCTCTTGCCTCCCTGAATCCTTATTGGATGGTTCTCATTGCACCTCAGTTCCTGGTTCCTACACCCACCAGGGTGGTCCTGACAGGGAAGGAAGGTCTTGGTCAAAATAGAGAGACTACATGGAATGAATTCTCCCATCTTATGCCACTACCCTGATGATCAAGATGCAGTCATTCATTCATTCATTCATTCATTCATTCACCACATACAGAACTTGTCCATATGCTAGACCCATGTCATACCAAAGTGGACAAGTCACAACCCTGGCCCTCTGGGAGCTCAGAGCCTTGCAGGGAAGAAGGACCAGGAGATCCACCTGGGCAAGAGAGCACAGTGGTATGAAAGAATGGCAGCAGGTTTTGTAGGGCTAGATGGGGCCAGCATGGAGGCTACTGCTGGCATTCCAGAGATGCCTGTGGCCTGGATAGACAGGGACCCATTCAGAGTGAAGACGAGTCTCAAGCCATGCTCCCAGCAAGTTGGGAGGTGACTGGGCACCAGAAGAAGCCGGCACAGCTGCAGAGAACACAGGAGAGCAGCCTGTGGCGCCGGCGGGAAGGGCATCCTGGAAGTTGATTCCAGAAAGAAGTGGGGCTCCAGGGAATTATTCTGGGGAAGCTTCCTGGGAAAGAGGAAAGAAAAGAGTTGGGGGGCGAGGCCTCACTGAGGACTGAGCATGGAAACGGAGGGTTCTGAGGCAGGAGAGGCAAGGACTTCTCAGCCACAGCCCAGAACCACGGCCAGGCAGGCGGAGGGGCAAGTGCTGAGGCCCGTGAGCCAGGCCTGCAGCAAAGGTCTGTGGGGGGAACTTAAAGGCCAACGGGAGACCTTGGGAGTAGGCAGCTGGCTTCGCTTGGAGCGCGTGGCCTTGGCTGGCCCCACCCATCCTAGTGCAGGTCCCCGGGGAGAGCTGATCCCTGACGCTGGTCCAGCAGGCCACCCCCAGCCATTCCAGAGCTGACCCCTGTGGCGTCACAGGGACGACTCAAGCCTCAGCAAAAACAATCAGTGGGACTGACGTCAGGCTGGGGCTCCTGATGGTGACCAGCCTGGCTGGGTAGCCAGCACCCTGCCTGCTGCCCCTCTAGTCGGGCCGGGCCGCGAGGGTGAAGAGGACCAGCTGTCCCCTTCTGACATCTGCCCCCCGGGATCCTGGGCCGGGGCGCCTCTACCTCCCACCCTTTCTGGGCTGTCACTCCCAGTCCAAGCCTCCTCCAAGGCAGCGGAAATGGCTGGGCGGAGGAGAGAGTGACAGAGAGCGTGAGAAAGAGGCACCTCCCAGCCCCGGCATCATCGGGCAGCCTCTGGACCTGGACTGGGCTGGGAGGTGGCGCGTCCGCTGCCAGCTCTCCTGGGGGAGTGGGGTCTGTCCTTCCACGGGGGGAAGGGAGGGGCCTCTCTTTGCTGGGAAGGTCTGTGTGTTTGTTTTTCTGGCTGAGTTGGGGTGGGGGTGAGGCTTTATTTTTGTGTTAGTCCCACAGGAGTGAGAAGTCC